CGGCTCCGCACCAGAACAGATTGCCATCCTTGCCACTCCTCTGCTTAAGAAAGAGATTACTAAATCGTCTTAGCCCTTCATTACAGGAACAGAAATGTGGGGAGGCTGGGTAGGGTGCTGTTGTTTAACGATGGGGGACAAGAGGTGGGAGGGAGGCAGAGTGATGGCTGCTGGCGATGCTGGCGGGGACACTCCTCAAAGACGCTTGGCTGCCACCCTCGGTGGGTTGGGTCTTCAGGAATCACTTCCATTACCTGCGTGGTCTTTGATGGAAATCACTGGGGTTTCTTGGTCAAGATCTGAGCCAGCCTTTCTGCAGCCAGGCTGACCCTACAAATCCCCTTCTGTGGCAGCAAGGCCAAGTAGCCTTCTGGTCCTCTTGTGGTGGCAAGGTGGTATTTATGGGGAGTATATCCCCTTCATTTTGTCTCTGCAAACACCCACGTGGGCAAGGCCAGAACACATTCACTCACCATCCCCAGCTATGAGCGGCCACCTAGGAGGACAGCACCAGCTCCGGGATCTGGCTCTGACCCATTTGCGTGCAGGCCACAGTGGTCGGCCGGGCAGGGACTGAGCGAGGGGCCACTTCTCTGCCTCAGAGAGGTGCCCAGGCAGCACTGCGGTGAAGCCACCTGGAGAAGGACAATGACCTCGTCTTCCTTGAAGACCCTTAGTCCTGGGCAGTGGCTGGACTGACGAGGGAACCGCCACTGCACACCCATGAAGGGCCCTGCCCATCCACCTGGGGCCTGCAGCTTCGGAGATGGCTCTACTAGCACCACCTGACTGAGGGTACTGGGGTCGGGAGGGGGCCTGGTGGGCTGTGAGGGCCTCCAGGTTGCACCTGAGCCCCCAGACCCAGGTCCCCCACTTTGTAAGTGGCAGGGTGGTGATGTTGTGGCTCATCTGCCCTGGAATTGAGAGATAGGCACAGCGCACAATGGAACCTCACTGGGGCCTGTCCCGCCTCCCAGGAGGACAAGCTGGCCCTGGGGTAGGGGTCAGGGCAGGCGGCTGACCTTGGATGGTCCAGCAGTTTCCAGAGGCAGAATCAGAATTTGGGCACAGCTTGCCGGCAAGGGTAGGGGCAAACGGGCCTGGGAGAGGGAAGAGAAAGTCCAACTTCCTACTTCGCCTCTTTCCCCGCAGCACTGTCTACAGAGGCACAACCAACAGGCCAGGAGGAGGGACGGGAGGCCAGGAGAGCTCCACATTCTGTGAAACCTTTGCCGGTGGGTTTTGTGTTTGTGGTGGGCCTGTGTGTGCGCATGTGCACACACACGTGGAGCATGTCTAGATCTGTGTGTGTACACGGGGTATGTCAGTGTAGATGTCTGTGTGTATACAAGTTTGGTCTGTGTGTGTATGAGTCACGAGTGCATCTCTCTGTGTGTGTGTGTGTGTGCATGCCTTTGTGTGCCTAAAGAATGTGGTTCAGCCCATAGGGACCAGCAGGACCCGGCCGGCTGGGTCCCTCACACAATCCTCTCTGGGCCGGAGGCTAGGGCCCGGGTTGGGGTGGGTGAGCCCTGGGAGCCCCTTGACCCTGGGCCTGGGCCTGGCAGTGGCAGCAGGCCCGATGGGGGGCCGGCTCCACACACAGCCTCATAGGGGGGAAGGGTGTCCATGGAGACCGTGTGGAGGCCACTTTGGGCCGGGGTTCTCTGCTCCTGCTGGTGTCGGCCGGGGCTGTGGCTGCTGCCTGAGTCGGAGGTGCCGTCCAGCGTGGGGCAGGAATCAGTCAGAGAGTAGGGTGGCGGTGCATCCGTGGGGACATACAGCTGAGTGGCCCCTGGCCCCACACACTCCTCGTAGCTACAAGAGAAGAGGCTCCCTCAGTGCCCCACCTAGGCCTTAGGGCTGGGTCTCTCCCAAAGGCCTAGGTGTCTATCTGCAGTGACAAGCTGTCCTGGCTGTGGACCAGGGTGGGCCTTGTCCACGCTGGCTCCAGTGAAACCCTACTACTTCCCTCCACCTCCAGAGGGGGACCTCAGAACCCCTAGGACCTGGATTCGGGACCTGACTCAGCCCTCGTGTGCGGTGTGAGCTCAACGCATGAACACTGAGCTGCTCCGGGTCTCCGGTGCCTCGCAAGCCTCGCAGCAGCAGGGACCACTGTCTAGGGAGCATCTCCCTGCAGCGCACTGGGTGTGCGGGGGCTGGGTAGGACCAACCTCAGGCTACAAGACACCTTGGTCTCCAGCCACTCCAAAGTTCCCGTTCTCAGTTTAGGAAAGAGTGACCTGGGCCCCTCTGAACCTACAGATGCAGAGCAAAAAAGCACCCACTGCCCTGGAAAGGACTGGCCACACCACCCCTGCTCAAGCCCCTGGGGCAGGGGTGAAGGTGGAAGGGCAAGGGGGAGGACACGGGCCATTCATCCAGGACTGGAGGGGTCTCCTAGCACGGAATGGTGGAGGCCCTGACCCCTTTCCCTCTTCGAGTACTGATGGGTGATCTGCCTGAGGGGGGCTGGCAGGAGGGGACCAAAGGCCCTCCAGAGAAGAGCTCCCCATGGGGAGGGGGCTGCTCGAGGGCCCCGAGGGCCGTTTGGACACAGCCACTCCTGTGGGCATGATCACAGGCACAGGGCCCTCCTGGCCACAAGCTCCACCTGTCCCTTTCTCTTCCCACTGCCACTGTCTCTGGGGCCCCCAGGAGCTGAGGGCATAACTCTGTCCTTCTAGCTCCATGACCCCTCCACTTCTCTGAGAGGAACCCGTCTTGATCTCTAAGGCTAGTCTCTGCCTCGGTGGCTGCAGATGAGACCACAGAGGCCCCAGGCTCAGCCAGACCTTGTTGCCTGGGAGGTCTCGGCAGGGGTGTGTGTGTGTGTGTGTGTGTGTGTGTGTGTGTGTGTGTGTGTGTGTGTGTGTTTGGAGGGGGAATCACCTCTGTCTTCCTAGTCTTGCCCCCACCTTCCTCACCCCTCCCCATCCCTGTCTCATGCCTGCCCAGCCCTGTCCAGGCCCTGAACCCAACCAGCCTGGGGGGAGATGCCTGACCACAGTGGAGGCCTGCAGCTGGGGCACTCCCTCGTACCTGAGGCCAACCCAACGCTCTGCTCTGACTCAGGGAGAAGTTTGCTCCCAGGTACCCCCAGGGCATCTGTGTGCCTCCACCTCCATCAGAAGCAGCCCCACCGGTTCCTGTCCTTTTGATGAGCCTCACTGGGCAGAGGCAGTCTCCTTGGGGTCCAGCTCCTGGTCTCTGGGACCCAGCTGGCCCTTCCCCACACAGGCTAGAGCCACTGACTCCTAGGGGTGGGGGGAGGTGCCTGTGTCCTCAGGCTATGGCCTCAGGAGCTGAGGGCTCAGGTCTAACCCTGAGCCACATCCCCAGATACCCACAGTATCTTCCTCTCCAGGAAAACCCAGGAAGCAGGGTTATTTGTCCCTATTTCATAAATGAAGAAATGGAGCCCTTGAGAGCCACAGTGACATGCCTGAGAGCATCAACCTGGGCAGCGTCCAGGATGGGCTCAAACCCAGGTGGGTCTGACTGGAAAGCCAGGGCAGGGGAAGGGGAGAAGAGGTCAAACCCCACTGTGCCCACTGTAGTGCGGCACACACGAGCTCACCTGCCTCTGGGCCTTTGTTCATCTGTGCCCTCTGCTGGTCACACCCTCCTCTGTATCTCTGAAGGTCCCAGTTCCTCCCAACCCAAGCACCACACACGCTTGACAAAGGCCGATTTCCTGTGTCAGCCCATCCTCCCTGATCCCCTCCCCTCGTCCTCCTCAGCATGGATAGTTTATCACCTGTGGCCTCGAAATAGTAGCGACACCACTGGTGGGAAGAGCCAGTGCCTTGCTGAGCATTTTACCGGCACTTCTGTGTCATTTTCATGAGTATCCTGTGGGGCAGGTATTATTATTATTATTTTATTATTTTTTATTTTAGATGAAGTCTCGCTCTGTCGCCAAGGCTGGCGTGCAGTGGTGCGATCTCAGCTCACTGCAACCTCCACCTCCTGGGTTCAAGCAATTCTCCTGCCTCAGCCTCCCGAGTAGCTGGGACTACAGGCGCCCACCACCATGCCCGGCTAATTTTTTGTATTTTTAGTAGAGATGGGGTTTCACCGTGTTAGCCAGGATGGTCTCGATCTCCTGACCTCGTGATCTGCCCACCTCAGCCTCCCAAAGTGCTGGGATTACAGGCGTGAGCCCCCGTGCCCAGCCGGGGCAGGTATTATTACATGGACATTTCAACAATGGAGAAGCAGGCACCGCAGGATTAAGTAACTTGCTCATGATCATACAAGAAAGAGTTTCCAGAGCGAGTGCACCTGGGGCCATCAGATGTCGGCATATGGGCTCGTCCCCTCTTTGCTGCCCTAGTCCCTGGTGTTATTTATTGAAACACAATGAACTTTTTTTTCCCTAGGGGAAGTTGATCCCATGGTCACTGAAATAACCAAATACTCTCTGGCCTTCCCTCCCACCTCCAGGGAGACAGCCAGAGGAGCAGATCCCCAGGGAGCTTGGGACAGCTGCCATGGAACCTCCCCTGAAACTGCAAGGGCATTCCTGGCACACCTAGTCAGCAGCCTGAGGAGCTGGGCTTGTCTCTTCCTTTCCTAGCACTTCCAGGTGACATCTGCTAAGTCACACTGCCTCAATGGGACCTACTTGGTCAGAAGTGGGGAGGAGGTGGCCATGCCCACTGAGCAGGTGTTTTCTGCATTTATACTATGTGGAGAGGTGCCACTCTTTCCCGTGATGGAGTTGGGGGGTCTTTGTGTCCAGGGCCCCATCCTCTAATGCCCCCTTCCCCACATAGCCTCCTTACCCTGGTGGAGAATCTGGGTACAGCTCCCTGAGTACCGTGGCATCCACGTCCCCATCAGAGCTGATGTCCAAGGGTGGGGGCCAGTCCTCCGAGGAGCTGCAGGCATAGCGCATCCTGTGGCTTGAGCGGCTGTATGTGTGCCCGTCCAACACTGCAGGGAACAGACCACCGGCCTGGGCCTCAGACCAGCATGCAGGGACGGTCCTCATGGGTCTATGGGTCTACCTGGGGCCATGGAGGCTCAGATTCCCCACCTGACCACTCCTCTCCTCGCCAATCGCAGCTACCTTCATCCATCAGTGACAGCTTCAGAATGTGAGTGCCATTGTCGTGTTGGGCATGGGGATACAGAGAGGAAGCAGAGCTGGCCCTGTCCTGGCCAGCTCCCAAGGTGGTGGCAGCCTGCCTTGGGGATAGCCTGGTACTGGGCAGTGTGTTGTGAGGTTTGGTAGAGGTCCTACTGGGACTGTGGGAGTAGAGGCAGGCCTGACCAGTTGGGAAGTCAGGGAGGGCTTCCTGGAGGAGGGGCTGCTACAGCTGAGTCTTGTCTAGGATTTAACCAGGGGAAGAGGGGAAGGCTGGGAGAAGGGAACTGAATAGCTTTCCAAGGAGGGAGATAAGAAAGAAGAGTGCTTTCTGTGGAGTTGGGCTGGGCATGGAAAATGGGGAGGAGAGTAGCAAGGAACGAGGGCTGCAGAGAACTCTGGGATCAGCCCTCCCCCACCCCAACCACAATCAATTCCCTTTAGGTATCTTGGGGGGAAAAAAGGCATCTCTGATGAGTCTGGCACCTCCCCACACTGCATTCTCCTCTGCGTTTTTTTTTTTTTTTTTTTTTTTTTACCATGTATCAGTACATCAAAGGCTCTGAAAAGTCCTGCAGCTAAGAAACACATTTAACTGTGCTTGTCCAGCATTCGACCTCAGAATCTTCCTTTCTTAGACCTAGTAACACTGCTTAGGAAATGCTGCTGGAGCAGAATCCTCTCATTCGACAGCTGAAGTTCCGGGAGGACCAGTGACTTGCTGGAGGACAACGCACAGTGAGTGGTTGGGCTGGAGGGCAGCTGGGTGTCTTGGTTCCTCCTTGCTAAGTTCTCTACAGCCTAGTTTCTGACAGGTGTAGTCCTGGATGGGAACAGTGGGAGCTGCAAAGGTGGCTCCGACACGAGGTCTCCCCAGCCCAGGGCTCCCAGGTGTCTCCTCCCCTCTGGGGGTGGAGCTTGACGTCAGGGGCGGAGCTATAACCTTTCTCCGCTGTGAGTGGCGCAGTTGCCATCCCCATTCTGCAGACAAGGAAGCTGATGCTCAGGGTCACATACGTGGTGAAGCATGGAGTTGGAATTTATGCAGTCTGTATAAACCCAAAGACTGCTCTTCCCACTCTCCTAAACTCTTTTCCCCACTCTTCATATAATAGTGAGTGGAAGAATCTGGATATGAAACGATATCTACTGGTACAATTCCAGGGTTATATACCGACACCAAGAAAGCTCTCAGAAGAAAATATTCCAAACACGTTGATGGTGGCCCTGTCCAGATGACAGGATCATGACCCTTATTTCTTTCTTTATATTTCTTTTCTTATATTATCTGTATTTTTAAGGTTTTCTATAATGAACACACATTACTTTTCTACTAGGAGAAATGAGGTCAATAACATATGCTGTTAAAAAGGAGCTGAAATGAGATTTGTTTCTCCTGTTCAGGGCACCAGCTGAGAGACAGAATTTTTGGAAGAACTTAGGGAAGAAACTAAGGAAAGACAACAGCACACAGCAACAAGGTGAGGCTGGAAGTTGAACCAGGGCTGCTGGGCTCGGGTGCCAGGCACCCCTTCCCCCCACTAGCCAGCATTGCCAGGGAAGGGGTTTTGGGTTCAGGGGAGGGTTCCACCTGCAGGGCAGCAGGTGTGCTGGTCACACAGGGATCCCTGGGGAAAGTCAGGGCTGCTTCCTGGACCTGAGTGGATTGGCTGGTGGGCAGCACTGAGAGCTGCTTCTTGGGCTGCTGCTTCTTGGACTTCCCAGAGGGGAGCATCTTGGGAAAACTGAGGCTGCCCTAAGGTGCTCAGACCCCAAACCTGAGACATGCAACTGGGCAGAGCTCCTGAGAAACAACTGGAAAGAAACGAGCACCCTCCACCCCCATTCGAACTTCCCAAATCCCTTCTTTTCCCTTCTCTCCTGACTTCCCTGTCAGCACAGACCCAGATAGTCCAGGAATCCGGAAGCCCTGCTTCCCACTTCACTAAGGTGAAACCTCCTCTTTACCCCAATACCATGGTTCATTATTTAACATCACTCCAAATTCACTGCCCCTTGACAGGTTCTGGGAGAGGGAGGAAGAGGAACTGGCACCCATGAGGACCTGCTGTGCTCAATCTCTATGATCTCATCTACCTCACAGCCCACTGTGGGAGGAGAGCAGTGGTTACCCCTTCCACCAGATGAAGGGACCGAGAGTGAAGTCACTTGCTCTAAACCTGCAGCAAGTGACAGGAGACAGAGTCAGCCACCAGATCTTTCTTAAAGCTCAAAATGGAACAGAATTACAGAATTTTCTTTTTCTTTCTTTCCTTCTCTCTTCTTTCTTTCTTTCCCTCTCCTTCCTTCCTTCCTTCCCTTCCTTCCTTCCTTCCTTCTTTCCTTCTTTCTTTCTTTTTCTTTCTTTCTTTCCCTTTCTTTTCTTTCCTGTCTTTCATCTTTCTTTTTTCTTTCTTCTTTCTCCTTTTTCTTTTTTTCTCTCTCTTCTTTCTTCTCTTTCTTTCTCTTTCTCTCTTTATTTCTCCCTCCTTCCTTCCTCTGTCCCTCCCTCCCTCCCTCTTTCTTCTTCCTGCCCCACCCCCATCTCATTCTCAAACATTTGTGGCTCCTCTCTCTGTCTGGCTAGACTACAGAAAGGTTCTGTGGGCAGGCAGAGGGCCAGCTCTGTCCTGAGGGCATTGGGAAGTGGTCACAGTCCTGTCACTTTGGTCGCCTTGTGGAGAATGCCTTAGAGGTGCCAGGCTGGTGGCTGGCAGGCAGGGACAGCTGGCATTAGTGCAGTGGCCTGGGAGCAGGTTTTCTTGGAGAAAAAGAGATGCTGAAAATAGCTCACATTTATTGAGCATGTATATACCCATTAGCCAGGTGCTGTGCTAATTTAGTCCTCACAATAACTATTTGAGGTGGATCCTCCGGTACCAGTTTTATAGACAACTCGCCTGAGGCACAGAGAGTTTTGGCAACTTTCCTGAGGATGCGCACCGGAAGTAGGAAATCAGGCCTCTGTGGACACCTGGAGCCTGAGGTGCCTGTGGGGCTTTGCGGGGTGATGTCCAGGGGACTTCTGGGCATGTCATTCTGGAGCTGACCTGAGAGCTGGAGCCAGGTAAGGGAGGATGATGGATGGTGGATGAGGTGGAGCAGGGAATGGGTGTAGAGAGAGGAGCAGGACCAAGGTGAGGGACCTTCACCTATAAAGGGACAGAGGAGAGGAATCCATAGCCAGAGGGGTGGGACAGAGGCCAAGAGGGCTTCAGTCACCAGAGCTGGGGGGCTGTGGGTGTGTCTGACAGGTGGAAGGGGCCCAGTGCCAAAGGTTGGGGCTTGCTGGTGCACTGCCCCTCCCTTTTTTAAATTTTTTTTTTTTTTTTTTTTTTTTTTTAAGGGACAGGGTCTTGCTCTGTTGCTCAGGCTGGAGTGCAGTGGTGTGATCATAGCTCACTGCAGCCTCAAACTCCTGAGCTCAAGCCATCCTCCCACCTTGGCCTTCCAAAGTGCTGAGATTACAGGTGTTAGGCACCATGCCTGATGGTGCTGCTTTCATGTCCTCCCACAGCTGCTCACAGTGTGTTTCCCTCTTCCCCGACACCCTCCCAAGGCTCCCAGCAGCCCCTGCGCACCCTCCAGAAGGCCAGGGGAAGGTGTGGGGCAACAGCACCTCTGGGCTCCCTGCCGAGGCCCCAGGAGGTGCCAAAGTTGGAGCCGAGAGCAGAAGTAGGGCAGGGAGGCCAGAACCCCACAGGGGTCACCACTACCACAGGCTACAGCGGGGAAGCCAAGGCCTGATCCTGCTTGGCAGAGCTGTGACCTCGGTCTTCCCATGCACTCCAGGGACAGAGCTGAGGCCTCATTCATTGGCACCAGTCCCGAGGCCACCATAGGCTACAGAGGGGCTGGCCCACCCCCAGGCACATCTCTTTCCTCTGCGCCAAGGCCAACGCCTCAGCCCTCTCAGCTTGGGAACTACTGTGGGCTCCTAGCATGCGCTCCGAGATAAGTCATTGAACAAGTTGCTTCTTTGTGCCTCAGTTTCCCAGTCTTAATTTTTTTCTTATTTCTTTAGAGACAGGGTCTCTCTCTGCTGTCACCCAGGCTGGCATGAAGTGGTGAGATCATAGCTCACTGAAGCCTTGATCAGGGCTCAAGGGACCCTCCCGACTTAGTCTCCTGAGTTGCTGGGACTACAGGCATGTGCCACCACACCTGGATAATTTTTACATTTTTTTTTTTTGTAGAGATGGGGTTTTGCTGTGCTGCCCAGGCTGGTCTCAAACTCCTGATCTGAAGTGATCCTCCCACCTCGGCCTCCCAAAGTGTTGAAATTACAGGTGTGAGCCATGGCACCCAGCCCAGTTTCCTATTCTTTATTTATTTTTTATTTTTTGATACAGAGTCTCGCTCTGTCACCCAGGCTGGAGGGCAGTGGCATGGTCTCTGCTCACTGTAACCTATGCCTCCCAGGTTCAAGCGATTCTTGTGCCTCAGCCTCCCGAGTAGCTGGGATTAGAGGCATGTGCCACCATGCCTGGCTAATGTTTGTATTTTTAGTAGAGACAAGGTTTTGCCATGTTGGCCAGGCTGGTCTTGAACTCCTGACCTATCCGTCCGCCTCAGCCTCCCAAAGTGCTAGGATTACAGGCATGAGCCACCGCACCTGACTAGTTTCCTAGTCTTTAAAGGGGGCCACTACATCTTTTGCCTTGAGGATAAAATATGGTGGCTCCTACCTTGCCCATGGAGCGCTTCCTCCAGGCCCAAGGCTGGGTAGCCGGGAGTCACCTGTGGGCCCTGCTCTCATGGATGCAGCATAATCACCCCGTGACTGAGACACTGAGGCAGGCGTGAGTGCAATGCTGAGGAGGTACAGGGGAGGGGGACACCCATTCACCTCTGCCTGGTAGGTGTGAGGAGAGGCCAGACAAGCTCCCATAAGGAGGCAGCCTTTGAGTGGGGCCTGGAAGGCTTTTTTCGGTTAGAGAAGCCCAGGGAATGGCAGTCAGGGCAGAGGGAAGAGCCCAGGCAAAGGGGCTGGAAGGAGCATGGACAGGACACTGGAGAGGAGTGGGAGGAGCTGGGTAAGGGCCAGGCTGTGCAAAGGGCAGGCGGCAGGATGACCATCCTGGGTCTGCCCGACACCCTCCAGGGCTGGGGGTCCTGGGTTTCTCTTGGCGGGGATGGGCATGCTCTGGGCAGGAGCCCTGGACTCTCCAGGCTCAGGCTGGTGATGCGGGGGTGGGACTGGCCCGTCCTGGCTTAGGAGTGCTCCTGGCTTGTCTCCTTGGGGAGTCCCTGGCTTCTGGGGAGACTTGCGGAGATTGGGTGGGCTGAGTTTTCCACGTCTGAGTTTTTGGCGTCTGTTTTATTTATGCTGAACTTTCTCTTTGATCCTCATTGCTGGACAGTGAGAACAGTCCACTAGCCTGCTGTGTCTTTCCTCAACTGTGGCCACTTGTCCCGACTTGTCCTGGGATGTCCCTCTGTGTCTTACATAAGGTCCAGCCTCCTGCTCTTCTGGTTCTCCTAACAGCTTTCCCAGGGGAGCGACATCCAGGTCTGAGTGACACCCACTGTGGCCATGTACGTGTCTGCCGGACACTGCCTTGAGCCCATGGGGTGGCTCCCAGGGGCGTCTCCCTGACATCTCCACCTCCAGGCAGTGCTATGCAGCCGGCAGCCTGTGGGTGCCAGGTCAGGCTGCCTGGGCTCAAGTCTGGGATCCACTACTCGCTGGCTGGGTGGTCCCACCCTGTTACTTAATCACTCCAGCCTGAACTTTCTGATCTGTCAATTGGAATGATGATAAAAGGTAGGACTTTTATCATCTCACTAGGACTATGGTGAGGATTTTGCACAGTGAGATTATGCACAAACAGCGCCAGGCGCCCAGCAAGCACTCCTTACTTATTGGCCATTACTACCAGGCTCCTGTTCACTAACTCCAGCTACCCCTTAGTCCCCTCCTTAACCAGTTAACTCTGTGATAAAGGACAGGAAATACCCCAAACCTGGCTAATCAGGGTGTGTCTACGAGGGGGAGGAGGGGCTCCAAAGGCCAGGGCTGATCAGATCCAATTCAATCTATTTTTTTTTGTTTGTTTGAGACGGAGTCTCGCTCTGTCGCCCAGGCTGGAGTGCAGTGGCCGGATCTCCGCTCACTGCAAGCTCCGCCTCCCGGGTTCACGCCGTTCTCCTGCCTCAGCCTCCCGAGTAGCTGGGACTACAGGTGCCCGCCACCTCACCCGGCTAGTTTTTTGTATTTTTTCGTAGAGATGGGGTTTCACCGGGTTAGCCATGATGGTCTCGATCTCCTGATCTTGTGATCCACCCGTCTCGGCCTCCCAAAGTGCTGGGATTACAGGCTTGAGCCACTGCGCCCGGCCCAATTCAATCTATTTTAAAAATGTTTCCTATCTTCCTTTTCCCCAAGCTCTTCCTGCCTTGGAGGGCGAAACGCCTCAGGTCTGGCCATGGCTGTGGCTCCTAGGAGGTTGGCATCACTTCACCCCACAGTGTGAAGGGTGCCTATTGCTGTTCAGCATCTCCAAGGTCCTGCTTTTCTTTTCCCTGTCTGGTGGTGGCCTTAGGCCTAGGCAGAAGCCCCTGAAGGCCTGTGGATGGTGATTTGGGAAGGAAGAGTCTGACTTTTTCCTGCCGTTGAAAATTGTCTGAGAATGGAATGCAATTGAATTTTTTCCTGCTGCCTTCGACAGCTGGCCCCTTCCAGGAGTGACACAGTCACGTGGCTGCGTTCTGTAAAAAGTTCAGGCATTCTGGCCATGTGCACAGATTTGGGACTGGTCAGCCAAGAATTAGCCACCAACTCCGTTTAAGGGTGATCCCAACAACTGGGAGACCCTCAGATCAGTTCTATTTGCACTCTGCTGGCTCTCACCAGGGATAGTTTCATTCACTCATCATTCATTCCATCAGTTCATCCATTCACTTATTCATATATTCACCCCCATCAACCCATCCCACTGCCCACCTATTTATCTTTCCATTCCTCCACTCAGCCCTCCCTTCCATCCCTCCACTCAGGCATAACACTCAATCCACCCATCTCTCCATCCCTCCATTTTCTCATTCATCCATCCTTTCATCTACCCATTTATCCATTCATACTCTCCACCCATCCATCTCTCCACCCATCCACTGACTCTTCCACTCAACCTCCATCTATCCATCGCCTCACCCCTCATCCATTCATTTCCCTATGAGTCCTTCTCCCTTCTCACCCATCCATTCCTCTCTTCATTCATCCACTCATCTCTCCATCTATGCATCCATCCATCCATCCATCCATCCATCCATCCATCCATCCATCCATTCATCCATCTGTCCATCCATCCAGGCACCAGCT